CGCTGGAGATTGTTGAAAACCAATGGCAAGTAAGGCACTAGAAAACTTGGAAAACTAGTTACGAGGGGCTTGTTTCAAGCCATAAACAGATTGATTAAGCTTACAAACAAGATTGTGCTCCCCCCTTTCAAGAATGACCTTGCGGAAGTCTCATGTATACCTCTTCTTGTAAATCACCATATAAGAAAGCATTTTGAACATCCATTTGATGCAAAGGCCACTATTTAACAACAACAATGGCCAAAAGAACACAAATAGTGACAATCCTAGCAATAGGGGCAAAAGTATCATGATAATCGATTTCCTCTACTTGAGTGTATCCCTTGGCTACAAGCCGAGCTTTGAATCTTTCTATGTTGCCATCAGATTTTCGTTTGATCTTATAGACCCATTTGCAACCAATTGGCTTCTTGTCAGGTGGTAAAGGAACCAATGACCATGTTTATGTGTCTTCCAAGGCTTGAAGTTCTGTTTGCATAGTTGTTCTCCACTCAGGACATTGAATAGCTTAGGTAAAGGAGGAGGGTTCAATGTCACAAGCAATGGTATTAAGGAAGGAACAATGAGCAAGAGAAAATCAAGCATAGGACAGATAATTAGAAATAGGATAAGGAGTACCTGAAGAGGAAGAAGCTGATTGATCATGCATGTTAAAGCAATGATAGTCCTTATACCTTGTGGGAAGTTGTTTATGACGCAAAGAATGCCGTAGTTTTGGGAGGACAATAGGTGGTGGTCCGGAGACGTGGTGAAGCTAGTGATTCAAGAAAAGGTAATATATTAGAGGTTTCAGTGAAAGGTACTGTTGGGGAAGAATCTTTTGTGACAAGGGCTAGAGTTGAGGTATCCAGAGAGGATGGAAAAGTAGTAGTATCAGTTGGTATGTAATCTGGACTTGGCAACGGGAGTGGCAAAGACTTGGCCTCAGAAGAATCAAATTGAAAAGGAAAAATGTCTTCATTAAACTTAACATCATGACTCACATACAATTTTTTGGATTTAATGTCAAAAATCTTGTATCATTTTTTCCAAAAGGATAATCAACAAAGATGCTAAGAAGAACTCGAGAATCAAATTGGTGCGTGATATGAATATTTCTTCTAAAACATAAACAACCAAACACTCATAAATGGGAATATGTGGGTTTCTTTTGAAAAAGCAACTCAAATGAAGTTTTGCCATGAAGGAGTTTAGAAGGTGTTCTCTTTATGAGATAAGCAGCGGTCAAAACACATTCACCCCAAAATTTGAGTGGAAGATTGGAGTGAAAATGAATAGCACGAGCCATGTTTAACAAATGACAATGTTTGCGTCCAACAACCCCATTTTGTTGGGTTGTGGCCACACAACTATGTTCATGGATAACCCCTTTTGAATTAAAAAAGGTAGTTATTTGCTGGCTAAAAAATTCTGAATCATTATCACTACGAACCCTTCGGATGGTGGTTTGAAATTGTGTTTGGACCATAGAAAAGAAATTTTGAATAAGAAGATATGCTTGGGATTTATGCTGCATTAAAAATACCCAAGTATTTCGAGAAAAATCATCCACCACAATAAGAAAATATTTAGCTCCAGTAAGAGAAGGAGTAGAATAAGGACCCCAAATGTCCATGTGAATTAAATCAAAACACTGAATACTTGTTATTGAACTTAAGGGAAAAGACAACCTTGTTTGTTTTGCCAAATGGCAAATCATAGAAGAGTTTTTATTAAAAGAAACTGTACTATCAAGATGAGTAAAACTAGGATAAACACCCTCACTTGGGTGTCCTAATCGAAAATGCTAGAAGTCTGCCACAGGTTTGGAAATAGTAGTAAGGGAGATAAATGGGGCTGTGGAAGGTGCAAGGTAGTAGAGACCATCATGCTCCTTCGCCAAACCAATCACTTTCTTCGTCGACAGGTCTTGGAAAATGCACAGGTTAGGAAGACAAATCACAGAACAATGAGGTGCCTTAGTGATTTGGTGAATAGATAATAAGTTGAATTTGAATGAGGGAACATAAAGAACATTATCTAAATGAAAAGTGGAATTAAAATAAAGTGAACCAAAATGTGTAACAGGGACAAAATTGCCATTGGGAAGTTTCATAGGAGGACCAAAATAAGGTTGCAAGTTTTCTAAGGTTGTGAAAGATCCTACAATATGGTTGGTGCAACCCGAGTCTACAATCCAAAGCTCATTCATATTTGAAAAATTAGTATTGATACTTGCCATATTAACAAGTGGATTGGAGAAGGTAGAGACACCAAGTTGAATAAGAGAAAGTAGTTGCTATATCTGGTCCTAAGTGAAAGGTGAGCTTACATCAGAACTTTTCTCACCATGGTCAGTAGTTGTGATCTAGAAGAAGCTGTAAGTTGTTCAATAGAGTTTCGTTGAAAACGAGAACCAGAATCTCTGATATCACGCTTTACTGATGTTGCTTGATAATTAGGATTTCCAGGCTCCTTGCGACACCATAACTCAGAATGTCCATCTAATCCACAATAGTCATAATGATAGAATGGTTGACCAGATTTATTTCGACTCTATTGATTAAAACGATCGGTAGATTGTGATCCATGATTATGTGAAACTGCAATTGCCGATTGCTTAGGGTATGGAAGGGATGCAATAGATTAGATATTTCATTATTGTTCATCTTGCAGCACTAGAGACAATGCTTTTGTGACTATTGGTAATGGTGTCATTAGCAAAATCTGACTCCTTAAATTGGCATAGGAATCATTGAGCCCCATTAAAAATTGCATTAAATGATCTTGCTCTTCTAGCGTGGTGATTTCAGCAGCTGCTCCACAAGAGCAAGTAAGATATGATTTATAAATGGCAAGTTCATCCCATAGTGCTTTCAAACCTATATGATAAGTTGTCACAAAATCATTCCGCTATAAATGATTCACAATTGATTTCTAAATGTCAAAAATTCGAGGAGCATTGCGTTGGGAGAAATAGTCCAGTAAATCTATCCACACGGCACGAGCATTTTTCATAAACACAACACTGTTTGCATTTTCCTTCGAAACAGCATTAAGAAGCCAGGATAGAACCATACTGTTGCATTGACTCCAGATTGCATGATTTGGAGAAGTTGGTGCTAGTTGTGAAATGTGACCATCTATAAAACCAAGCTTATTTTTGGTTTCAAAAGCCATGGTTATGGCCCTGCTCCATATGGGATAATTATCTCCTCGCAAAACATGAGAAACAAGAACATCCAGGTCTATCTGAATGGTGTAAATAAAAAGGTGATGGGGGATCTCATTCATTATTAGCTAGTGCATGGGAGGTTGTGGATTCAGTAGACATAGTGAGACAAAACGATGAAGTCACAGGAAGAATTCCTACTCTGATACCATGAAAGTTGCTAAATGTATGTTATTCATTCATAATGTATGTCACTTTACATATATATACAAAAAAACTATATCAAAATCATAACTTAGCTAACATTGTGCCTAGAGTCTAGGAGAATTATAAATGTATACAAATATGCTCCTGATTCTAAGGGATTTACACTAGATTATTATATCAGTTACTGTTTATAGAGTTTGATGTTTATACTACCTTTTCTACATTTAGTCACTCTTACTGGACCTCTTACAAAGATACAAATAGAAAGATGTAAAAAGTATTTAATATTAATGTGCTAGCGACATAATACCTTTTTTTTTTTCAAACAAAAGGGAATTTGTTTTGGGAAGGAGAAGTCATGGGTATAGAATCCAGGATATTATGTCCTAACCCATTATTCAAGTGAATGGCCATTAGGCCACAAAGGGCTTGGACGACATGATACTCTCTTAAAAAGATAAATTATTTATATAGTAATTAAAAATTTCTTATTGATATTAATTTATTATTCTCTATTTAGTTAAAAGTTCTTGTGAGATAATGATAGAGTCCGACTAACGAAATTTTAATATGTAATCAAAACAATAATTACATAAATTCCTTTTTAATTCATCTAATTTCACATTAACCAACAAGTATGTGCCTTTACACAATGTGCCACTTAAACGTAAATTTTCTTCCTTTCACTCAACATTATCACTTGACAACATAACCCTTTCACAACATAACTGAGAGGAAGGGAAAAGATCTCGTGACCTTGTGCCTAAAACCAGGACGAAGTACAGCGTCAATCTCAGCCGTCAAATCATAATGAACCGTTCCTGATGAATCTCTGACTGCTGCCATTTCATCTTTTTGCAGATTTACTTTCACTGTTTGATAATCCTCAATCAATCCTATCCGTACATCTAACCTTGTATCTTCACATACTGTACCTCACGATTCACATTACCAGATCATCGACACGTCAGTAAAACGGGTCCCATGAAATCTGGAATTTGATTACGTGGCAAAAGTGTCCACGTCCACGTGTCTGTTACAAAGATTCTAGATTTGGTTCTAATCTATCTCTGATCCTTTCAAGTTGCGTGTCAGTTGGTCATTGGTTGTTTCAAATGGTTGGCAGCCCCTCAATTTTACATTTTCTTGTTTTTCAAGCATTAATAGGAAAAAAACCATACATATAAGCCGAAATTAATTGAAAGAAAATTTTTGGCACACTAAATAAATTGAGGGATCAAAATTAATGGTCTTATTTTAAATTAAAATTATTGTTAGCATAATTTTATGCATATTATTACAATTTAATAATTTATAAAAATAAAAAATAAAAAACAATAGGCGCATTGCAGCCCTTTATTCTAGTGTAAAATTAAGAAGTCCAGTAATATAAATATTTTTTATTTGAACGGTCAAAATGTTCTTCGTGTATGAGCCTCCATGCATGCCTCAAAACTAAGTATTTTTTGAACAATCTGCTTTTCTTTTTTAAACATGTAGATATC